ACACACCTCTGTACACTCAGGAACCCAAGCTCACTGTCTCTGGCCTGCCAGTGCAACGGCAAACAGAAATACCGAAACGACACTGGGCTTTGGAGGCAGACTTATTTACATCGATGAGCACTGGCCAGGGTCATTCCCAGAATAACAAGCCCAGGTCGCTGGTGATCCAGGGCTTATTGGGATAAGCAAGCAGAAAGTACAGAGGCAAAATGGCTTGTCCACTGGTTTGCACAATGTGCATCACAGTGACAGCTGTGCATCATAGTGACCAGAAGTTTCTAGCGGAAAGAAGCAAGCAGAACTGCAACAGGAGCTATCACTGGGCAACTAAGACACTGAAGTATGCTGGCTGGGGGGTTTCTGCTACAGCAGCACACGTCACAGTCATCCAGGGCATCCCAGGTAAGCAGGCTCTCGTGTCACTGACCTGGTGGCACCTCAGTTCATCAAGATCCTCATTCCCTCATGCGTAGCTCTGATGTGAGGACACCCAGGGTCACGGCAGAAGGTGGGAATGTGTTGGTCTGGCCTCAGCTGGGGTGGAGCCTGAGGTGCCCTCCTGATACCCACCAGGGTATGACTTCCACTACATCCACTCTTGCCTGCCCCAGCTGAACACTGGGCCGCCACAGTGTCTCCAGTTTGCAGCTGCTGAGCTCTGTGTGACCACAGAGAGACAGCATCCAGCCCTGGCAAAAGGACCCTGGGGGCAGAGGACCTTAGCATTTTTGGTTCTTCTTGATTGTGAATTGACTTTAAAGAGCTTGGAGGGACAGTTCCACCACCTTCCTCTACTCAGCACTGCCAGATTGCTGGTGAAGCCACTCGTCACACTGTCCTCGCCTGGGAGCCATAAACCAGTAATAAATCATGGCAGGCGAGGCGCCCTCCTGGTGCTCTCAACTCTCCAGACGAAGCTGCTCTGCTCAGTGCGGCAGCAGAATACCCAGGCCTTGTCTCCACATGTGTCTCAAGCTGGCCATGGGCCTGCAGCTTGGGTTGGTGGCTGTCAACTGAGGGCTCCACAGTAGCTAGTGGCATTAGGTGCCACTCAGTTTGCGTCCCAAAAGTTGCACACATACTGAGAGGTCTGGGAAGTTGTGGCCAGGCACGCACTGACTTTGGTCTTGCTTTGTCCTTTAAACAGCCTCAACTGACTGCACAGGACAAGTCAAGCGTGCATGTTTTCTTGTGATGAAGAGCCAGAAGGGCCTGACTGGAGGGCACTCTCCAGTTCCTGCCCAGCTAGTAGCACCCACCTGTGGGTTTCACTCTGTCTGCCTGCCAGAAGTAGGGCCTCTAGTGCAAAGAACAACCAAAGGCCAGGCTGCCCCAGACACCGGGCTGGACTCCCGGGGAACAGATTGGCTGCTGGTGGTATCCAAGCCTCATCTCACTTGTCCTAAGTAGATCGCAGCACCAGCACCCCTGCCAAAGTCAGTGCCACCCCAAAGACTATGCTTGGGGTCATGTACAGATGGGGACACAGGGACAGGTACCTGGGGACATCTGCACAGCCAGAGACCGGAGTTAATGCCAACAGAGGCAATCTTTAGTCACCTCAACACTGAGCACAGAATTCCATCCTACCCTGGAACAAGGCCTCCAAGGAAAGGAATCTCGATGCCGTGAGCTGGCATAGCCTTGAGCCTGCCCTGGTCTCACAGCAGGAGTCTGAAGAAAACTACTGGCAGTAACACCCTGCAAAGGTGATGCCTGTCCCTGAGGTGCTCGTGGACACAGAGTTGGGGAGTTTGTCAAGCAGTACACTGAGGACTTAAGAATTTGTCCTACGAGCCCCAAGGCAGCAGGGTCAGGCTCTGAGGGGCCTGGGTTCTTGTGAAGTCAAGGTGCCCATCCCCCCTTCCCAGGCAGGAGCTGGTAGGACCATCCTGCTTTTCATTCGCTCTGTGTGCATGGACTGAAAGCTGGTGAGGGTCCTGAAGACAGAGGCTGCTGCTTGTTTGCCATTTCCATCAGCCACTCTGAATACTGGGGCCCCTGCTGCATCCACACCTACAGGCTGCGACTACCCATGGGAAAGCTCACTCTGTGTGGGGCCGTGCTGTGACCTCCAACACACAGATGCCACCCCAGGAAAACAAGGACAGCTCTGTCCGTCACCACCGACTTCCTTCTCCATGGCTGTCACATGGTGGCCACAGACTATGGGGGGGAGGGGTATGAGAGTGACAGAATTGGAACGATGCTTCCCCAAGCCCAGGAGCCCCATTAAAACATCTCCCAGACTCCCCTAAACCCAGGCCTCAATCTGTGTCTCCGAGCCTGCCCTCTTGAATTTGCAAAGAAACATCCTCGGCCCCAGAAGCACCTTAATCACCTGGGGGTTTGTGTGTCTCTGGCAAATGGCGGACTTTGTAATCATTTATGATTGTCACTCTGCATCCTGGAGAGAGACTACAGTGGTCCCTCTCCCCCGCCAGGGCTGTATTCCCTCTGGCCCACAGAGCAGGGGGTGCTCCTCAAGACACACTCTAAAGAGCCCCGAGTCTCCACAGGGCATGCAACCCAGACATGCTGGCTGCTGGGCTGGTGTTACCCCCTCTTTGTTTTTGTGTGTATATGGATGTGTCCAGTGCCCTGAAGAGTTACCCACAAACTAAACAAAGATTCCAGCCCTCTCAGCCTTCCCTGCCCTTGGTCGGCATGCAATCCCCAGGGGCGAAGCTAGGGAAAGAGAGTCCAATCAGGAAAAGGATCACAAGACGTGGTGCTCGTGGCTCCTATCACCGTTTCCACATGCATGTGCTAAGGGTGTGTTCCAAGAGTGAGGTCCCCACTCTCCAAGGGGCCCATGCCAAGCAGGTTAGGAAAGGGGATTAACCGTTGCCACAGAGCCTCTTCCTTCTTCTCAGGCCAGGCAGAGGTGGGTGGCCAGGTGCCCTGACAGGGATTGGGGGAGGGCCGTGCTGGAAAGATGAGGCCGCAGCAGAAGATGCAGACAGGAAGCAGGTTTCCGTGGCAGGATGACACCAGGATGACACACAGTTACAAAACTTCCGCCTTTCATGGGCAATTTCTTTCAGGTCGAAGTTCGAGGGCGGCAGCCCTGGTGGTCAACACTGACCTGGTGGCACCCTTGCCCGACCCCGGCTCTCAGTACTACAGTCCCTGGTGGACCCCAAAGGCCCCGCTTTCGCAGCAGGCTGGGACCTGGGCAGACGCTGCCCCAGGGCCTTTCAACCTTTGCAATCACACTTTCAAAATAGGCTGCAAGGGTTCTGATTCTGCTCAAATCTGATGTTAAAACAATATTTAGCTTCTCTTGTGAGAGGAAATCAGTTGTTTGCCTACATCTGAGCCTGCTGACCAGCAACAAAGGAGGAAAAGACCCACTTGCAACAGAGGGAACCATGCCCGGGCAGGAGCTTAGAAAGAGGGCAGGCGACCCGCCTACTCTGAGAGACACTGTGGTAGCCAGGTGGGGGGGGGGGTTGTGGGTCCTCACTGAGCCACCAGCAGGATAAAATCTGTTTATGTCCTTTGTGGCCTATAATGAGGCACCCTGCTTAATACACAACAATGGGAACCCCTCAAAGCCAGAAACCAAGCATCCTCTCTGCCTGTCTTGTCCATACCACACCACCACACCCAGTGTCTCCACAGCCCAGATGGGTGCCTGAGCCCTGAGCTTAGCCTGGGCTGCCACCAGCTTCCCTTCCAGCTCTGAGCACAAGAGGATGGCTTTCTGAGGGTACCACTCCTCCCCTGTGTCTACTGGGGGAAAGGAGGACCCACACGCTCCTCTATTTGAGAGGTCCTAAGCACAGCATGCAGGCCTGTGCCTTCATGGCTGGACTTCACTGCTAGCAAAGGGCACTTCTTACCCTGCACAAACCCTCCCTACTGAAATCTCAGCTTCACAGGTACCCTAGGCTGGTGCTGTTCCATCCTGGGACTCCATCTTGCCTCAGAAGGGCACTGTCCACTTCCTGTACAGCCTCAGTTTTGTCCCTGGGAATAACTATGGATCCAGAATTCATCAGAGCACAGGCAACAGTGGGTACCTGCCATGTCCTAGTTACATAATGCCCCCATGGCACCTCTAGTCTTCAAGGAGGTCACATGGTTCCTGTGGTTACACAACCACCACATGTGAGGCTAGGGTCAAGCAGGGGTGCCTGTGATGTGAGCCCTGCACAGTGCTTGCCAGGGAGACCCCAGGCTTTTGCTCCTAGGGCCAAAGGAGTGAGGCGTGGCTACAACATCCCAAACAACTGGGGTCCAACAGTCCCTGCTGATGCTCCTTGAGGTCCCACTGCAGTAGAGGCACCAACTGTCTCCCCCAGCTCCCAGCACCACAGATCTGCCTCTATCAGCCCTGTCCCTGGATTCTTCCTTCACGTGGACCTGCGGACTCCTAGTCAATACATCACTTGCTTCTGGTCTCTACCACTCGTCTCTCCTCCCACAGCATCTGCTCAGGTGGACACTGAGGGTCTGGCCTCTTCCAGGTGCACAAATGCATTTGAAGATTTTGCTAAGCTTTTTCCTCCTGGCCCACTTTGTGGAAACATTCCAAACTCTGCCTGTGAAAGTCAGCCATCTCCATCTGGGTGAAGGGTCAAGAAACCCGAGTCCTGACACCAGGGAGAAGGATGGCTCAATACTGCAAGATGCCTCGAGTCTGGAGGCAGTTGCTGCATGGTGAACCCCAGAAACAGCCCAGAAGGACCACGCCTCCTGTGCATCCCAGTAAATGGCCTAGGATGTACTTGGGAACACGTAGATACAAGTCTGCATGATTGAAGTTGTCATGGTTATGGAAAGACAAACATTTGCCTACCCAGAGATAACAGGAACTCCCTCTCCACTGAAAACCATCTCCTCCAGGAAGATACACAACTCAGAGACAGTGCCTGGAGCTCTGACCCTGTGTCAGGGGCAGCGATACAGAGCAGCCCGCGGCACAGGGCTCCAGTTCAGCTCAGGAGCTCTGCCAGAAGACACAGAGGAGGCAGAGGCAAGGTGAACCCATGTGTGAGCACATTGTAATCTGTTTATTTTGTACAAAAGACATCATAAGTAAGGGTTTTGCCTGTGTTCTAGTTTACCTCCAATAAATAATATGTACAAATGTGCTGAGTTTACAACACAGCAGAGGAAAACCTTTGCCTTACAAAGACACACTTTCTTACATGATACAGTTTTTCCATTCACTGGAGTGTGAGTCATGCCCAGCTTACTCCAACCAAGGCCCTTCTGCACGCAGTGTGGCGGAGTCCAGTGCTGTGTACCTAATCTTTTCTACCAGAGAACAAAACTATACCATGAAAATTCCTCAGTTTCTTGAGAATTGAGGGCCTGGATGGGCCCACTACTTACTACTGACCCATGTATAATGTTTTCCAGAAAGCTGGAAATTCTCTAGAACGGTTGTCCTCAAGTGACTGCACAGAGGAGCCCCTGCACTTCTAGTGAGCTGGACAGGGTGGAGCCCAGGGTTCTCCCCATCTCTCTTGCTTTCCCGGGGGCTCCGAGCCTGACCAGGGACCACATGTGGTTGGCCAGGGCTAGAAGGTCCCTCCAAAGCAGGAGATGTTCTTCAAGGCTGCTGTAAGAAAGGCTCTGATTGCCCATCCTCTGGGCCCCCTTCCCAGATCCAAGTCTCCTGGAAAATGGGGGGCTTTCATTCTGGAGCACAAGTGAGCAAATAAAATGAGCAGCTGAGAGTCCGACTGGCCGGAAGCAGGCAGCTCAAAATCTTCTGGGCCCCGCTCCTGGGGCTGCTTCTCTCTCAACCTGGAGCAAGCATTGGAATGTTTCAGCACTGCCAAAACTTATCGGTAATGAAGGAACTGCATACAACACTTAACAATCACTTTCTCTTCATCCAAATCAAAGTGAGTCTAAAACTCAGACTCACTGTTTGAAAAATAAAACAATTCTACAGGTTTAATTTCTATGACAGTCCAGCAATGTTAATTTAATGGGTCACCTATTAAACTCAGTTAAAACTATTTTGCTCTCAAAGCCTGAAATTTCAAGATAAATAAATTAGCAAAGCTAGGGGAAACGAAAATATGCAACTGGTTTTGTTTTTAGTGTTTCTGTTTCTGCCTCACATAGCAGTTCTTTCTGGATAGACAGCTTAGAGTCAAGAAGGAGGCTGAATATAGGCAGAGAGACAGCATCTGACACACAGTGTGGTGGGGAGTGCAGTGAGCCTCGGAGACAGACAGGTAAAGAGTGAAAAAAGGAAAGAGGCAAAAAACTAAATATTTTTTAAAAATAAATATCTTATTTGTCACCAGCCCTGCCGGTAGGAGTCTGCCCTGCAAGATAAGGCCCAGTGGCACTCACCCCTCCCACACCCAGGCAGGGTGGGCCACCTGCCAGTCTGTCCTCTGGGCAAATCTGTGCTCTGCCCAGATGTGGCAGCTTCATCCTTTGGGGCTCCCAGGCAGAGGACAGGGAGGGTCTCCACACTCCAGTAGCTAGGGTCCTTCTGAGCAGCCTGGGAGCAAACGGAGGGGGATGCACTGTGGGTGGCACACTGCACATGGTGGGTCCTCAGAACTTCTGCAGAGCCACAGACTTGTCAGGGGATGCACACTTGTACTCCATCTCCTCACGGGCTGCGATCCGCTTCTTGCGCAGGTGGCAAAGGAGTGCCAGAAGCGCCACCACCAGGGACAGGGTAGAAACAGAGGTGCCAATGAGAACAACAGAGTGCGAGGGCCCTGTGGGTGGGGCACTCAGCGTAGGGCCTGGCACTGAGCTGGTGAAGTCCTCCCCAGAACCTTCCTCCTCCCTGATGGCCTCTTCTTTTTTCTCCAGACTTTGTTTGTCTCTAGACAACTGTATGTTGTCGCAGTCCTGGCTCACTTGGCCCTCGAGGGGGGAGCCAGGTCCACAGACACACTCATATGTGCCCAGGAGGTTGTGGCATTCATGTGAACCACAGTGGCCCTGATCACACTCATCAATGTCCACGCACATGCTGCCCTCATCTAGGATGAAGCCTTCAGGGCAGTAGCAGATCTGTGGGGCGTTGGGGTCACAGTCCGCAGGACACTCAGTCTCGTTGCAGAACAGCTCACAGAGGTGCGGTGCCTCCGGCTTGGGCCGGAAACCCTCAGCACAAATGCACTTGTATGTGTCCTGGCCTAGAGGCTGGCACTGGTACTCACAGTCCGACCCGTAGCAGGGGTCCATCAGCTCCACACACTCTCCGTCCACCATCTCGAAGCCTTCATCGCAGAGACATGTGAAGCCCCCGTCAGTGTTGACACAGCGTTGCTGGCACACGCTGGGCACCTGTGCGCAGTCATCCACGTCCTCGCACGAGTGCTGGTCGTCTGCCAGCTTGTAGCCGGTGGCGCACATGCAGGTGTAGGAACCCGGCGCTGTAGGGTCAGGCACGCAGAAGTGAGCACAGAGGCTGTCGCAGGAGGGCCCAGCTGGGGCGACACAGGAGCGCCCATCTGCTTGCAGTTTGGCCTGGTGGGGGCACACACACCTGGGCGTCCCCTCACTCCAGTGGCACTCGTGCTCACAGCCACCCTTCTCCACTGTGCAATCCCAAGCGCCAGGCGCCTCGCGCCCCCAACGCCCCTCCGCAGTCCCAGGCAGCGCCGCACACCTCAGTTGCAGCCCGAGCACCGCCACGGCAGCCGAGCTGCCCACGGGCAGCGCCTGGAAGTCTCCGCCGCGCGCACCGAATGGGGTGCTGTAGGCAACAGAAATGCGGTGCCCAACCGCTTCCACCAAGAGTGGCCTGCAGGAGGCCTCAAAGTGCAGCTCGCACAGGAATCCAGCTGCCTCTGAGTCGCAAGGTTGCGCCTCCCAGGCGGGGTCGCCAGGTCCCATGCCTGCAGCCGAAACGGTGACGCACAGCGGGCCGCAGGGGGGCGCACCGTCGCCGTCGCTGTCGGGCCGCGCCCACCTACTGTAGCTCGTGTGGTTATCGCCTGTCACCCACTGGAAGCCGCGCAGGGCCCCAAGTGGTCCGGGGTCCCCGCAGCCCTGCTGGCGCTGCAAGCCAATCCAGAGGTTCGGGCCCGCACCACCGTCGCCGCTGAGGAGCAGAGAGATGACCTCGGCCGCCACGGAGGAGCGCACGGTCATCAGGTGCCCGCGCAGGCGCTCGCAGACCTGGCTGGCGTTAGCGAAAGTTGTGGGACCGTGGAAGAGCGCGAAGCACTCGCTCTCCACGCACTGGCTGCCGCTGGGCCACGGGTCCGCGGGCACCAGGAGCCCCAGGCCAGCCAGGGCCAGCACGCCGAGGAGCAGCACCCCGAGCATGCCGCGCGGGCCGAGGCGTGCGGGCGGAGGCGGAGCGAAGGGCGCGGCGCGGGCCCGGACGAGACGCAGCTCTGCTCTGCCCAAAGCCTGGCTAGGCCGGCTTATAAACGCGCGGCCCCCTCCCTCCTGGACGTTCGAGAAAAGGAAGGAAGTGCAGTGGGAAGGGCCGGGGCGACGTCCTCAGATCGACGGGTTCCCAGGACGCCTGCACCGCCCTCGCTCCCGTAGCGCCTCGCAGGGTGAGCGCAGTGGATAAGGACCAAGCCCCACCGCCATTGGCAGCGCGAATCCCCCCCCCCCCCCGCAGCCTCTTAGCGCCCCACCCCTTCCATAAATAGTACCCCGATTTCAAGAACCCAGAAAGGGGGCGGGGCCGGGCGGGGCAGCTAGCGACCCAGACCTGTAAGACGCCGGGGCAGGAGCAGGATGGAGACCAAGAGGACACTGGGGGGCGATGCTGTGCAGGCCACGGGTTCTCACTAAGACAGGGTCGCTAGAAAACGGCCCCAGGCCTGGTCAGGGTGCTGCCGGGGAGTCCGTGGAGGGGGCTGAGGATCCCAGGCGCGCCTGACACCAGCACTGCCTCCAGCTCCCGGGTGGGCGCTGCCAAGCCCAGTGCGCCCTGGCGTGGAAGCGGTGCCGGGAGTGTCGCGGCACCGAAGTCCGGCCCGTCGCCGTCCAGCAGCACAGAGGAACTGTGCACCGATTGCCCTGGAGTAGTGGGCTACGAGCCTAGCGGGGGACTCATCGGTACACTGGGGACGTTCCATCTATGAAAAGGCGGTGATCGAGGGGTCCGCCACGGGTGGGCGAGCAGGCAGGACCGGGCAGCGCGTTAGGAGAACTGTCACTTTGGACTTTATCCGCTTATTCACGCGCCAAGAATACGGAGGGCCGAAAGCGACGAACTTTCAAAACTTCCAGTCTGCTCGGCCACAACTACTCCCGGCCAGACGGCAGCAGGCGGCGCTGTTGGACGCCGGACCAGGCTGCGAGCCGAGGGCGCAGACAGGGATGGGGGCTCGGGGACCCTGGCTCCGGGGCGCCAAGGGCGCGGGCCTCCCGTTCCTAACTGCAGCTGCCAAGCCTGGCGGAGCCCCCGCTAGCAGCCCGGCTGCCCAGGGAGGAGGCTTGGGCGGTGCCGTAAAGCACCCCCCCCCAAGTGGAACCCTTCCTGGTAAGGAGACGCGAGGCCCAAAAGCACTGCGGCGCCCCAGGCGGGGTGCGTGCGGGAGGGTTAGGTGGCTATGCCTGTTGAGCCCCCAGCCCGAGCTCGAAGAGTGCCCACAACCAAGTCTCGTCCACGCGGGAAGACGGGAGTTGGAGGCCTTCCAGGCTGCCCACTACCGCCGGTTCGACTCCTGCGTGGTCTCCTTGCGTCCGGAGCCGAGGCGGTGGGGCTGTGCGAGAGCCCGCGGAGAGCTCTGGAGGGCAGAGCCGCCTAGGACGCAGGCCAGACGCACCCGAGCAGGGAGCAGTTGTTGCATGCAGCTGGAGGGAAGCGGGGGGCCTAGCGTAGAGACCCCAGGGACGATTGGCCCTGACTACCCTGTGGAGGGCCTCAGCACTTGCCTCTGGCCTGACCCCCTGAAAGGTCCTTCCTAGCCTTTCTCTTCCGCCTGTTTCCTGTCCGGCCATCTCTTACCCATGTCTGAAACTACCTTTCTCAGTTGAGTCTCCCCAATCTCCGCCCCTGTGGGGCCCTGCTTCCAGGGAGTGCCCCCTCCACTGAGGGGCAGCCCCTGGCTCTGTGTGGGCGACTCCACCTCCCCCTGATCAGCCACCCCCTACCCACCTCCCATGGGCGCACCAGCTGCCCTCCTATCCTGTCCTGACTCTGACCCCAGGGGTTTCTCTTTGGCCCTGGATTTCATCAGTCTCACCCCTCCCCACCCCGTCCCATTCCCCTAGGCAGACCATGCCCTGCCTCTGTCCCTTACTCTTCTCTGCTCTCACCCTGCCAAGGCCCATGTGGGCCCTCTGATATCCCCTGCTGCCCAGCCCCCATGGGAGAAGCCCAGCTCCATCCCCTCCCCTCCCTTAAGTGCTTATCCATGCCTGTTCCCTAGGGCCACACACAGGGCTGCCTACACCCCACTCCTGCAGCCTCAATGACCACATCATTCCGGCCACAGAGACTTCCTGGCAAGGGAGGCCCTGCTCATCCTATCTCCAGTTCTTCCCCCTGCCATGAAGCCCTGGTCTCCACCAGCCTCAGCCTCTCTCCTCTAGCAGATCCTTGTTGACAAGCTGCCTTCAGCTGAGTGTTTCCAAGTCACAAAGCCAGAGCTGATAGTTTTGAACTTTCACAGATAAAACTTCCCATCACCTCCTCAGCGCTTGCCACCCCTACCTGCCTAAGAGGTCGTGCTGTGCATGCTGCTGTCTCAGCGACTCTCAGGATCTAGCTTACTGGGAGCAAGGCAGAGAGCTGTGCACTGTGCTCTCTAGTGCCCTCCACCTTACAGCACCCTGCGGCAGCGATGGTGCCAGGAGCTGATGGAGCTCGGTGCGGATGTGTTTTCCAGAGCATTCTCTTTGCCACCCTGTGAAGCCCAGGTTAAGAGACTTCAGGGCCCCAGAAATAATTAAGAGTGTAGGCTTTACAGGATGTGGTGATGCACCCCTGTAATCCCAGCACTTAGGAGGATGAGGCAGGAAAATTGCTGCAAGTTTGAAACCAACTGGGCTACAAAGTAAGTTCAGTGCCAGCCTGAACTGCATAGTGAAACCCTGTCTCAAAAAAAAAAAAAAAAAAAAAAAAGGTGGGCTTTGCAGCTACCTGGCTGAAACTGAGTCTCAGCGGCACCACTTACAAGTTGCTGTTATTGTTGTTTTTAAGATTTAATAAGTTGTCTGGCCTCTCTGTGCCTCAGTTTTCTCAGCTGTGTGATAGAAATTGTAACAAAGCACTCATTACTATAGACTGATTTATGCATGGAAAGCATTTAGGACAGTAAACTCTCAACAGATTTTAGTTAAACAGAAAGCACACATTCCCTAGAATTTGAATTCAGCTGCTGGTGGTTTGCACACCCAGTATGGTTCCCGACTCACTGTTGGGTCAAATTTGATCCAACCAAGTATTTTCACTAGTTGCTATAAGCAATTGCTGAAAACCTCCAGGACCAAGGAGTGGCAGGGGAAATTGGAGAACCAGGGCAGTGTGTCTTTGCTGGGTTCCCATCCCCAAGCTTCACATATGGATTTTCTCACTTCCCAGATGACAGCCAGGGACAATGAGTGACTCCCCAGGACACACGCTAGTGAGCAGTGGAACTGGCACTCGCCAGTCTGCCTTTGTGACAGAGCTGGTGGGAGCACATCTGAGCCCCAAAGTAGCCACATATCAGGTAATCTGGCTGAGTTCCTCAAGTCTCTGATTCTCCCTTTCACCCTGCTTCCTCGTGGAGATGTTATGCCTATTGCACGGGGTTGCCTGAAACTTGAGCAGGAGCTACACATACAGCACTGTTAATACAAAGGTGAGTTGCAAGTATAGATTTCCCTCCTAGCCAGAAGCCTCAGTGCCTCAGATCCATCCAGCCAGGCTAGATTTCTAGCAGAGTTCCTGTACCATCCTGGGAAGACCTTGGCCCCACCACCTGGGCGTTACGTGGCCTCTGGTACTGAAAGTGCCCAGGCACTGTCAAAAGAGACCTGAGGAAGCATCCACAGGCAGGAGATTCTGCACCGTCCCCTGCATAAGAGCATAATGATACAGAGGTGTGGCCCTGAGGGTTAGGCTTGTGCAGCTACGTACAGTATGTGAATCCAGGTTGTGAAGATAAGTACCAACGGAGCAAATATCCTTCAATAAGCAACTGCATCTCCGTATAGCAAAGCAAATATTTTACTAAACTCTGGCACTCACTCAAGCTTTCTTCAAGAAACAGGGTGAACGTGTATGGAAAGACTTTCCTAGTCCTCATTGCCATTCAGAAAGTTTGTAATCCTATGAAATCCTATGAATCTTGGAATTCCAATAAATTAATTCTAACCTACCACTTCTGGTGCAACCCATGGTAAGAATAAAGACACTAAGACATATTTATAGTTATGGGGAGCCAAGGGGTCCTAAGTCTGGTCAGAATTAAGGTTCATTGGAACAAAGACCTTGACCCAGGTCTCAATTTGGATTTTATTAACTCATGAAGAAGGGAGAGGCTGGAGGATGAATGTCTGTGAGAAAGGCGGGAAGTATGTGAGTACTGTGAGCTGGGCTAGCTAGGTGGCTTGACACCACCTCTGCAATATGCAGAGGGAAGGGTACATAAAAAGACCAATGTGCATAACATGATTGAGGTGGGTTGGAGTTTTGGGGTTGGTGCTTCTGCTCTGATGTGTAAACTTTTCCACCCTGGGGAGTCATAGCCTCTGATCTCAAGGCAGATTCCAGACTAAACAGAAGGGGTAAAACCAGAGATTCCTTAGGAGAAAATATCACTATAAATCTTTGTGTCCTGAGACTAAGCAATAACTTTTTAGATATGACACTGAGAGCACAAGTAAAACTTGGACATTACTGGTTAAAAACTTTCACACTTCAAAGGAAGCAGATATCCACAGAGTGGGAGGATGGGCAAAAACACATAATGTAACAGAAAAGGAATTTATAATATCTAAGAAACCATTAAAAACAATAAGACAACTAGCCCAATTAAAGTATGGGCAAGGGACCTGAAAAGACATTTTTCTAATAAGGGGACAGGTGCTTAGTATCATTGGTCATCAGAAAAATGCAAAGCAAAACCACAGTGAGCCTTTCAGGGGTCATCTTGGATCCCAACTGTAAGAAAACCCCAGATAACCACCCCACTGGGCTGGACATTGCGATCTGTGCATGTGTGCACACAGTGAGCCACATTTGTACCCCAGCCCTCTAGCAATCAGTCCTCCCTTTCTGGCTAATTAATGAATGCATCAGCTCTAACATGTGGAATAAAAAATGAAACCGTTCATCTTGAAGCATTAGTAAAACGGGAAAAAGGAGCAAATACGTGCCATCAAACAAACACTTCCTTATGATTATTTAAATCACAGATCCCTAAACCAGGCCTGGTGACACATATCTGTAATCCTACTTGGGAGGCTGAG